CAAGTGATACAGAAGACATTAACATATGAACGTTAGCATGAATTACCAAAGACTTTGACAGAATGATTGTTATAATGAAAAAAAGAAAGAAAAAAAAAGAAAGAAAAAGAAAGAAAGAAATTCAAGTGATACAGAAGACATTAACATATGAACATTAGCATGAATTACCAAAAGACTTTGGACAGAATGATTGTTATAATGAAAAGAAAGAAAGAAAGAAAGAAAGAAAGAAAGAAAGAAAGAAAGAAAAGAAAGAAATTCAAGTGATACAGAAGACATTAACATATGAACATTAGCATGAATTACAAAGACTTTGAGATTGTTATAATGAAAAGAATTAAGAAAAAAGAAAGAAAGGACAGAATGATTGAATTATAATGAAAAAAAGAAAGAAAGAAAAGAAAGAAAGAAAGAAAGAAAGAAAGAAATTCAAGTGATACAGAAGACATTAACATATGAACATTAGCATGAATTACCAAAGACTTTTGGACAGAATGATTGTTATAATGAAAAGAAAAGAAAGAAAGAAAAAGAAAGAAAGAAAGAAAAAAAGAAATTCAAGTGATACAGAAGACATTAACATATGAACATTAGCATGAATTACCAAAGACTTTTGGACAGAATGATTGTTATAATGAAAAAAAAGAAAGAAAGAAAGAAAAAGAAAGAAATTGTTATAATGAAAAGAAAGAAAGAAAGAAATACAAGAAGATACAGAACATATAACATATGAACGTTAGCATGAATTACCAAAGACTTTTGGACAGAATGATTGTTATAATGAAAAAAAAAAGAAAGAAAGAAAGAAAGAAAGAAAGAAAGAAATTTCAAGTGATACAGAAGACATTAACATATGAACGTTAGCATGAATTACAAAGACTTTTGGACAGAATGATTGTTATAATGAAAAAAAGAAAGAAAGAAAGAAAAAAGAAAGAAAGAAATTAAAGTGATACAGAAGACATTAACATATAATGAAGACATTAACAAAAGAAAGAAAGAAAGAAAAGAAAGGAAGAATGAAATTTATAATGAAAAAGAAAAAAGAAAGAAAGAAAGAAAGAAAAAGAAAGAAAAAAGAAAGAAATTCAAGGATACAGAAGACATTAACATATGAACATTAGCATGAATTACCAAAGACTTTTGGACAGAATGATTGTTATAATGAAAAGAAAGAAAGAAAGAAAAGAAAAAAGAAAGAAAAGAAATTCAAGATACAGAAGACATTAACATATGAACATTAGCATGAATTACCAAAGACTTTTGGACAGAATGATTGTTATAATGAAAAGAAAGAAAGAAAGAAAGAAAGAAAGAAATTCAAGTGATAAGAAGACAATAACATATGAACGTTAGCATGAATTACCAAAGACTTTTGGACAGAATGATTATTAAATGAAAAGAAAGAAAGAAAGAAAGAAAGAAAAAAGAAAGAAAGAAAGAAACAAAGAAATTCAAGTGATAAAGAAAGAAAGAAAAAAGAAAGAAAAGAAAAAGAAAGAAAAGAAAGAAGAAATTCAAGTGATACAGAAGACATATAACATATGAACATTAGCATGAATTACCAAAGACTTTTGGACAGAATGATTGTTATAATGAAAAGAAAGAAAGAAAGAAAGAAAGAAAGAAATTCAAGTGATACAGAAGACATTAACATATGAACATTAGCATGAATTACCAAAGACTTTTGGACAGAATGATTGTTATAATGAAAAGAAAGAAAGAAAGAAAGAAAGAAAGAAAGAAAGAAAGAAAGAAATTCAAGTGATACAGAAGACAATAACATATGAACGTTAGCATGAATTACCAAAGACTTTTGGACAGAATGATTGTTATAATGAAAAGAAAGAAAGAAAGAAAGAAAGAAAGAAAGAAATTCAAGTGATACAGAAGACATTAACATATGAACATTAGCATGAATTACCAAAGACTTTTGGACAGAATGATTGTTATAATGAAAAGAAAGAAAGAAAGAAAGAAAGAAAGAAAGAAAGAAAGAAATTCAAGTGATACAGAAGACATTAACATATGAACATTAGCATGAATTACCAAAGACTTTTGGACAGAATGATTGTTATAATGAAAAGAAAGAAAGAAAGAAAGAAAGAAAGAAAGAAAGAAAGAAAGAAAGAAAGAAAGAAATTCAAGTGATACAGAAGACATTAACATATGAACGTTAGCATGAATTACCAGAGACTTTTGGACAGAATGATTGTTATAATGAAAAGAAAGAAAGAAAGAAAGAAAGAAAAAGAAAGAAAGAAAGAAATAAAGAAATTCAGAAGAAGACATTAACATATGAACGTTAGCATGAATTACCAAAGACTTTTGGACAGAATGATTGTTATAATGAAAAGAAAAGAAAGAAAGAAAGAAAGAAAGAAAAAGAAAGAAAGAAAATTAGAAATTCAAGAGATACAGAAGACATTAACATATGAACATTAACATATATGAACATGAATTACCAAAGACTTTTGGACAGAATGATTGTTATAATGAA